TTACTTAAAAAGAGTGCCGTTGTCGCTGCTAACTGCGCAGTGCATTTTTTCTTCGAGCAATCTATACACGCTATGCTCACTCATGGACTGCGCCAACCCCAAGATCATATTAGAGATTGGGCAAGTTTCCACACAAATGTTCTTGCTCTTCATCTTCCTCAGAACCTCTGGCTTCTCCGGCAAGGCATAGCCGTGACCGATACGCTTGGATTCGAGATCAAGTGCTGTTTCTAAGTTGCCCTCGAGATCGTCTGGTGTTTCGCCGCAATGAAAGAGAAACGGTATATCGAGGTTCTCTGTCTCGCATTGCAACTTGAAATTCCGAAACTCCTCCTCGAAGAATTTTAGAGGATGCGGCTTGGCAAAAGCCTCCTCGCCCACAAGATCGAAGCCCGCAATATAATCCGGCCACTTCTTCTTCATTTCAATGCACTCGTCCAGAGCTTTCTTGACCGCCTCCCGTGAGAAAGAACGCGGTGTGCAATAAATAACCTTCATTCCGCTGAAAGTCGGCCGGTGTTGCAGGTTGTCGATAATCTTTCTGTCCGCGCTCATGTCCCCAATATGTTTCATGAATTTCTCATATTCCTCAATAATACATCTCATAGTGCCGAAATTGTCGATCTTAGTTTTGGCACTGTCATGGAGAATTTGGTTCGTCTGCATGAAGTTTGGCCGTATCTCAGCATACTGGACATTGTCTCTGACAAATTCTTCCAGACACTGTCGTGTATATCGGCGGAAAGCCGTCTCGTAATTGAATAGCCCTTTCATCATTTTAGTACGTCCATTAAATGCCGTCCATGCCCTTAAGATGATCAGCTTCGTTCACCAATGTTGCGGAAGATCTGTCTTACCTGCGTGCACAATTGCGTTTGACTATATTGTTGCTGTCTGAAATCTTTTTCCTAGTTTCTATGACCCATTGCTGCTCGTTGAACTCTTGAGGCACCGCCCCTTTTGAGGTTTGCTGTATCGGACGAGGCGGCAGTGATTTCGCTTGCGTTGGTGACCGTTCTGAGTCTGACTCCAATTCAAGCTCATCGTCGTTGGCTTCTGTGAAAAATGAATCTACTTCCTCCTTGCTGAAAGTAAGCTTCTTGATAAGCCATTCATCACAGTTGCCCAAGCCCTTCTCATCCCAACGCTCCCGGAAGTACTGATAGCGCATCTCCTCAACTTGGTGACCCTTATCCTTCCTCCCGTGCTTGTAGGTAGGGCTGAAGATATCTGGGCCAAGCTTATCGTACGCCCGGATCTTAGCGGCTTCATCAGGAAGTCTGCTGGCGCGTGCAAGCTTCTCCTGCATTGTACTATCATGTGATTCGGCAGCCTTGGCGTGCATGTCGCTGTGAACTTGCTCGAGATTGCGCAGGCTGAACTCGAGCTTGCAGTTCTTGAAATCAATCTCGTCCACGAGCCGATGGTCACTCCAGATATACATGTTGGGCATATCTTTGGCGTAACCGAGAAGGACTCCCGGCAGCAGCGTGGAATTAAAGTGGAGATGTAGATGAGCGCCTTTAGGCATCATACGTGCGACCTGAAATAGCCGGCTCTCCTCGAGGCGATCACGGATGTGGAGGAAATGCTGGCCAGACGAGAGTGAATGCTTCCGAAATACGGCATCGTCTCTCTCTCTCATGCGCGCGAGGATCTGGTTGGCTTCGAGTTCCATGCGACTGGCGCCGCCGTTTGCGCTGCCTGCCATGTCATCCTGGAACCGGAACTTGAAGGTTTTCATCGTCATCTTGAGCTGCTGTGACGGTGGTCCATGTGAATTATGGGATGGAGAGTCTTCCGAGTCCTTCTCATGTTCGTCGGACTCGGCGCCCTTATTTATACTGCAGAAGGTACCCATCGGCGCATTCAGGGCGAGCTTGTGGTGCCCAGGAAACAAAGCAGGCGGTAAATTGCGTCTACTGTTGCCGGTTTGACAGGCTGAGAACTGTTGGCTTCAACACTGGCCAGTGAAGTCCCTGTATAAACGGAAGTAAGGGGTGAATGAAAGTCTCAAGGGATGAATGGGCGGGTATTGGTATGAGGTACGTAGCACGGAACCGGAAGCGATTCACAAGTTTGGCATGCGCAGACAAAGAGCAAGCTGACATTGGGATTCTTTCATCGCCAGAAAACTACCCGGGCATTAAGTATCTAAAATTCACAGGAAAGAGTCGGACAAACAGCTGGCTACTTGGTCATTTGGACGAACGTGATGACATGAGATGGGAACCAAGGTGGGATGAGTTACTAGAGATGGACAGGTCTCGTGGGGCTGGCCTGTCTCTGTTGGTGGTGATGTAGGTAATGTATGTTGGCCCTGGGGGCCGACTGTGCCTGAGCTAACCTACCTAGGTACCTAGCTAAGTAGCAGTCAGTTACTTGTGTAGGTACCTAAGGCAGGTAGGCTGTGTTCCGGATATGGGCATCTCTCTCCAGCGGGCGGTTTGCCTTGTCTAACGACTGCATCCGGAGGTAAGGCTCTGGCGGTTCCCGGCACACCGTAGCCCCACCCTTTAACCCCACCTCGACCTCTTAGGTTAGACGAAGGGGCTGAGGATAATCATGCATGACTTGTGGATCAGGTGGCTGGAGAGAGAGAGGGCATTCTTTCTGTATTCAAGGATATTCTATCGTTATAGTAAGACCTTGTTTGCTTCTACATGCCCATATCATACTACGGATGCTCTGGCTTTCTGCCCTTAATCTACTACCAGTCATTGGGCTGACTCGCCAAATACTACTCGCAACCGTACCGGACTGCGACAAGAGGAAAATTAAACATCAATCAGCACTAGATAGGCTACACGAAGAACGGCCCTGGCCGACAGCTGAGGAATAATAGGACTCTAACCCCGAGCTCTCTTCTATCATGTCGAGTCGATCTCGTTTGTTTTCTTTGTCAATTTTTGGTGCCACAGTTAGATTTGGTCAGAAGCGTTGCTGCCACCCTTACCGCCAAAAGATGATAGGTTTAGTACAGTATCAGCACACACATGATCAATCCCCCCTCGTTGGCGGAATGAATGGACAAGAACGCCCAAGACAGCAGATTAGCGGTTGGTTGCGTCTCTTCTCCCTGCGCTTAGACAGAAAAAGAAGATATAGAGGAGTCCGTGGGCGTCCTTGCATCTCCAACCCTTTCATCCATTTGCTCCGCCCCCGTCTTCTACTACTCAGATTGGTGGGGCCCTACACCGCGTCCCTATTAGTTCTTAAAGAAAGTGTAAAATCCTCGTCTCATACTCGTTCCTACTCAATGTTTCAGAGTAACAGTCGTTTTAAGATGTTACAGTTTTCAACTTCAACTAAAAGTCGCTAGAATACAACTTAGGATATTCGCCGCGCGATACGCCTCGTTTTGCTATCTAGCGAACGGACCGATCGATCACCTGAACACGCAGGGATTACAATCGTCGGTTTCTCCTAGATAAAGATGCTCGTGTTGCCAGTCAAGATGGACGGTTTAATCAGACCGCTAGTCTTTGATTCACTTCTAGAGTGAGAATTGATAGAATGAGCCTAAAGTCTAGAATGATATTCTTCGAGGTGCTGTCAATACAGCAAGAGTGTTTCGTCCGTGAGACATTCACAGGCCCGTACTCAGGAAACTAGAGCCCTGAGCCATTAATTTAGAACACAAGCCTAACACTTGATACGAGGCCGGAAATATTGTAGCGTCATTCGTGATCGCAGCTGTCAGATTAGGATTTTCCATATCATAGGATGAGACTGAACACTATTAAAAGTACCTAGGACATCATTCTCCTAATGACTTTCCACATGTCACCTTACTACGCCCACTTGTCAGACCTGATTGTGTCGGATGCCTACAGATCCACATACCTTATGACAGACTCCACAGGTGCTATTTACATTCTAAAGCGAGTAACTTGTACAGCCTATACGATTGTGCGATATTACTTAGACAGCCACTACTAGTGCCGCACGCAAGGGAGTAGTAGTGAAGCCTTCGAGTTTCTTATCTCAATATGCATATCGATGCCTCCCTTACTTCCAAAAGCATCTCACAGCCTCACGCTTGGATTAGCGTGAGATAACACGAGAGGGCCTTAAGACGACCGGTGGTAATATCCCAGCAAACTCCAATGGGCTGAATAGACGGCAGGGAGACAAAGGTATCAGCAGTGTGAAGGAATCATCGAAGGCGGCTTCCATTAGCAGGTGTTCATACAAAACTAAGTAACTAGCCTCCGTATCCGTAGCACCAGTGACTAAGTTCCTTGCTGATATGCTTAGCGACGACTTTACGGAAGCCATAGATGGCATTGTCTTAACCTTGAGTGGAGACTAGGACTCTTGTACGCACCCGGTCAGAGATCTTCTGGAGGACAAAGCGGCAAACAACACGCCACTGCTCTGGGGGAAAACAACTAACCGCCTATTATTTCCGTGCACAGGATTAGTGTGTTTGCTTTGTCCATCAAAGGCGTCTAGAGCATGTTCATGTTATTTGCAGTCACACAGCATAGCCCAGTTTAGCCAAACTAGAGGCCGAGTCAAGGGATAGTGTAGCATGGCGAAGCGCCAGTGTCCTTTTCACCCAACTGTGTATCAGCAAACCCTAAAAGTTAGTGGTTCTCAGTCCTCGGGAGACTTGCCGCCACTCACATGGTAGACATTTCCGGATTATTGATAGTAGGACTTGTACACTTCAACAACTCTTCACGAGAGTATCACACCAGTGGTAATCCATAATTAAAGGATAGTTTGTGGAAGATGAGGGAGAGTTTGCCACACGTGAGTATAAACAACTTCCCTCTATCACCTTTTCATCTTTATAGTTCTCTGCTACTTAGTCTAATTTGCATATGCCATTGCTTCGTGCGTAATGATCATTGACGGGGTATGACAGGCTATATTAACCTGTTAAGAGCCCCGCTGTTGGTTTCTTGCCGGCAGTGCTATTGTTCTAATCACCAAGTTGTGGCATTTCAACTCAACAATATAGTTGAGGATAAAGCGCTCGATTGCCAACAGCACTGATAGCTCAGTGGTAGAGCAATCGGTTGCAGTTCTTTAATTATAGGGAATGAATGGGATAGGTACTCGGAAGTCCGGGTCAGTGCTCGTTTATCTTTTTTTCAATTTTTCTCTTTTCTCTCAGCTTCCTCTGTTTCTTATATACACAACTCATGTTACGCTAGTATGATGGCTTCGAGTCCTCGGCGCTCTTTTACTTGCTTTTGGCCCTCCTTAGCTGCTATATCCAATATAACGCTAGATTAATTCTGTATGTTATCTATTAATCTAGTCTACTCGCGCCTCTTCATAGAAGACTGCCTCCTAAAAAAGTCCACGGAGTCCTTAAAGAGCTGTAATATAAGGGCCAACACTAACCAGTTTGACACTTTAAATTAGGTACTGGAAGGAGACATAGCAACAGAATGTTTTAGTGGGCATTATATACAGCCGAACCACACTAAATCACCTTGTCTCCAGCTAAAATATAGGTTGGTAGTTTTATCTTCGTATGAAAGTCTCTTATTTTACGTGTTTCTCTTCTATTCTCTCACCTTGTCACTTTTTCGTTGCATTTTACCCCCCACCTACCTTCTGTTACCAATATAGCTGGCTAGCAACTAGCGTGGATACAATCACTATGAAATTCCAATTATCCTAACACTTGAAAGAATCTGCGACCGGATAGTCCCTAGCATCTTAACCCATTATATTCTCGCCACTATTGCCTCTTCTTTTATCATGTCTTAGATATGTATGGCCCAAATACTAGCTAGTCTCTTCCAATGTGAGATGAGATGGAAAGTAAGTGTGTGATGCATCAAGATGCGTTTTCTCGAGACTTGAATATGGAGATACCTCTGTAACATGTTATTTAGCAGCTCATAGTAGCCCTCTCTGGTCGTAGGCGGCTGGAAATAGGCAGAGGTAAATTCGCGAACGTAAGAGTAACAATAGTTCCTGATCCCAGGCATAATAAGCTTATAGTCCCTCACAGACTGAAAACACTGGCTTTAGTTTAATTACATACCGATCTAGTAATTATGCATTTACATAATCGTCTCATCGCACAAACAGATTGAGATAGTCTCATCATAACTCACCTGGTTCATTGAAGCATACTATTAGGCCACATTCTTGAACCCTGCGACTCCAGTAGATGAAGAAAATCAGACATCCACGGAACAAGTGTTACAGCACAGTATGGAAAAGGACGAGCTCGACCAAGACGAAGAGCATTTGTGCAGGAGGGCAAATGAATGCTTCATTTTGTATCGACTATTTAAAACCTGCTTGTCGCGATCCCAAGGCTAAACTCCGTGCATGCTGCTACCTCCAAAACCCGAGACTATGTGCTTTGGTCGTCATGCTCGAGTGGACATCTACAAACTCTATAAAGTCCAAGGTCTGTATGTGAACTGCCCCAATACGCCAGTAATCAAGTTTGAGCGAAGCGTTCAGTCCAACTTGGGACGACTCGTTTCTCACCAAAGAACCCGTTTAAGTCTATCTGGTCCCCGCTGCTTAACGCTTGCATTTTCGACAGCGACAGGAAAGCTGTTGCGTCTATGCTTTTTTGGTGCTGTTGGAGTAACTTTGGGAATATACTTTACGCGAGAACTATTTCCCCCAGGCTCAGGGTAGTTACACTCCTCTTCATCGGAACTAGGGTTCTCACACTTCTAGTCATCGAACTTGAAGCTTCGGCTTGTGTGAACATCCAGAGGACCTCCCTTGTAGGCTCCGCGCTTCTTTTTATTCTTTTCCTTGGTGAAGCCCTTGCCTCTTGTCACAATCAGGTCGCGGTGAGCCTGTTCGCCGTATCCGTGGGATACATAAGCGTTTGAAGAGAGACGAGGGTCGACTACGACATCCTTCGAGATGCGTGAAAATGGCTGATTCTGTGGCTTTCTCTGGTTTGGCCCATTCTTGCCTCTATTATTGGCCTTGAAGGTCGTCGGGTCCGGGGGGAGAGGGGCAAAATCAGGAGAAGCTTTCTCTAGAGTAGCTGAACTGTCCGACGCTGCAGCATTTACTGCACTTCCCTCTATCTTAATCTTTGGTTTTGTTTCCTCTGATTCAGACTCAGAATCGGACTCAGGCAGTGCAACTTTTGCGGCAACCTCCACTTCATCCTCAGAGCCCGAGTCGGATTCAGAACTGGACGAGGAGTCATCAGAGTCGGATTCGGAAGAGCTGTCGCTAGCAGGTTGGGTTTTATTGATCTTCGGCTTTGCCTCCTCATCTTCTGAGTCAGACTCAGATTCAGAGCTCGATACAGATTCGGAGCTCTCGTCGGAGCTCTCCTCTCTTTTGAGCTTCTTGGGCCGAGGCTTCGTCTTCTTCTCTACATCAGTCATATCTTCGTCCGAGTCGGAGTCTGAGTCGGAACCGGAGTCGGACTCAGATGATGAGCTTTCGCTATCCGACTCAGCTTTGCGCTTCAAGGAGTTGGTGACGGGGGCGATGGTAGAAGCGGGATGCACTATCGTTGTCGTCTCTTCCTCGTCACTCTCACTTTCGCTTTCGCTTTCACTAGAGCTGTCGCTGCTGCTGCTAGAAGACTCATCTGAAGACGACTCGGCGGCAGGTGCGTCGGCCATTGCAACATCGTCGTCATCGGAAGACTCGTCACTGCTGTCGCTGGAGGAGTCGGAGGAAAGGTGATCGCTGCTGCTGGCCTTCGTGATCTGTGCTTTGGTGGTGGGTAGGGTCTCCCAGGTCTGGAAGATACTGACCAAGGAGTGGTCACTGGGTGTTGTTCCAGCACTATGGCCCTTCCAAGCTTTGGTGGCTCGATGCTTTTTAAACTCGCGGTGAGCATCATCGAAGCCTTGGTCGGAGAGGAAAGACTCGACGAGGTCCATCAGCTGGGCCGGGGGTTTAGGGGCGGCGGGTTCAGCAACGGCCTCGGATTTGGGCCTTGCAGCCTTCAGAGCTTTCTTGTCTTTCTTAGCCATTGTGTTTGGTTTGACAGCTACCTGGGTCGGGGGAGCCGAGAAGGTCGAGGGAGTCGAGCTTGAATTGTTGGTGAATAGCCACGCCGGGGGGGCCTGAAGATGCCGAAGATGTAAGTGTATTATTATTATTGATAAGAAGCTTTGAGCTCTTCGACATGGCCCGGGAAAGCCAATTGAGATAAGAGAGTGGGAGAGCTAAGCTAACTTCATGGAATGAAAGTCGGTTGCACAATGGCAACGATTATGACTGCTGTTGCTGCTATTGAGATGGTGATGTTACTGCCGCCTCCAGCCGGGTCTTCGAGAAAAATTTGTGGATTGCGACGGAGATAAACCCCACGATAAGGCAGTTACAACTTAGATACAACAGCCCCACCCCGTTTTCTGCCAACATAAGAAGCTCCGACGGCCTTTACTTTTGAGGTTAGGTATGTTACACGCTACACCGCCTTCGACACTTCTTTGGGTACCGTGGGCCTACGCCAAGGCACTTTCCTAACCTACCTGACCATTTACCTGTAGGATGTGTGTCTAAACTTGCCCGCTTCGAAGATTTGGAAGAGACAATAGGTAGGAACAATGACATCTATCTAGTAGCACTTAACACTTGCCTACCTACCTATACTACGATGATTTGCCCTTCCCAAGGGTATCCGCAGGTATGCTGGCTACATTAGGTATGCCGGGGCGCGACTTTACTACTGCAGCCATGGCAACTCGATCCTGCGCACTTGATTAAGAAAGGCACTCTCAGATGTTGAACCCCGATCAATAAAAAAGCTAACTTCCCAAAACCATGCCTTACATTAATTCGGGTAAGGCAAGGTATTTGTGTACTGATGTAGATATGTGCCTTTCCAGTGTCTTCAGCGTATTAGCTTGAAGACCTCCAGATGATGTATCGCGGACACCCGACGCTAAGAACAGAAAGGTTCACTTGCAGACTGCGGCTCGTCTCACTGTCGGCTTTCCTTTAAAGCTGCAGCAGTCGGTATTCCTCCTAGGCATCAGAATTCATGGCTGGCGTGCCATTGGCTGTTCCGCTGCGGCGCGAACGATCGACGGTCACGACTGTCCAGGCAGCCGAATTACCAGCATGCCAAACCACCCCTCTCCACAGCCCCCGTCTCACCATCACGCCTTTTCTCAAGGAACGTTGAATGCAGGTCACCCTAATGGGTACAGTCGATAATCGCCCATCCTTCCACTCACTGCATTGACGTTTCCTAGTATCCAGCGCTAACAAGAACCCCGCCATTGGCGTGGTAAGATTTGTTAAAGATATGTACTGAGGGTTCGGTGCTGTCACCAAAGTCGAAGACCTTCCTGATCGTGTATATCCACACCTATAAATAAGTTATAATATCAACAATAGCTTTACCTATATATTTCGTTCCTTTTCCGGCCGTTCACTTCGTCTCGTAGTTCGGCTTCACCCTGATCTGTCACTCTATTTTCTCTCTCTTCACCAAGCCACATAGAAACAATCTATCATCAAGTGCCACAGAGCTAGACAACATGGCATCACGACAGTCTACCGACTCGGTTTCCTCATCAACACCTTTTATTCAACATCCTACTTTCCAGCCACCCCCTAAGGGTCACGTCGAGGGTCATGTCGAAGCCCCCTTGCGTAACGGTGCGGCCACAAGCATCAAATTCTCAGTCGTTATCCTAGCATTCCGCATCCTCGCCTTGATTTCCGGTCTAGCCATCGGCGTGAGCTTCGCTCTGCTGGGAGCCTGGTGGCCTATGACGTTCGCCCTCATAATCTTCGTCTGGATCACCTTGGCGTGGAATTTCCTCATGATCTACCACATCATACGCAAGCCGTCGTTGCGGATTAGCTTGGTATTGAAGGATGGCAGGACTATCAGGCTCGGGTCTTCGGACGGCGACGAGGACAGCATGCGTCCTCGGCGCTGCCATCCCCGCGCTGTCTGGATCGACCTGATTCTACTTTGCATCGTGTTCGCCCTGAACATTGTGCACCATGTGAGGACAGGGAGCTATTATCGCACCACTCTCTCTCTCAACTGGTTCCCTATGTAAGTGATTGTTGCCTGGGTTCATCCCCAAACCATAGCCGTGTGGACTAACGAGCGTGCCATGACGCAGCACTTTCCAAATCATCATCACTCTGCTCAC